TGGCTCTGGAGGGCACCCAGAATGATACTGCTATTCTTTTAAGTAGGCACGCATATTGCTTATGGTAGGTTACCATATTATCTCCCACTAATTTAAATAAATTACTTTTTTTTTCATTTTATGTCTGAAAGGGAAGTAATAGCTCACTGCTATCCACTCTAAGTGTGCAGCTTTCTTATTGATTCCTCCTGGAGGAACTTGCTGACTTCAATAGGCAATATGAGAATAAAAGAATTCAGCTGTTCATATTCCTTGAGGGTGGAGAGGTATATGTCTTCTTTATCCTCCAGTCATGCAGACCCCCAAGCATTTTTCATAATGCATATGGCTTCTCTATTTGAATCATTCTCTTATCTTAATCTACCTTGTAGCACTTTCCCAATGGGGTTTCCATTTGCTGCCTCAGCAAGTTAGCTGTAAAACTTAAAATCTTGTATTCTCAGATATTTTTATCTTTAAGATTTATTTTTTGTTCTAATACAAAAACCACTAAATAGTACCAGAAATTGACAAAATGCCATGTTTTATCATTTTTATCACTCAGGAGAAAGACCCAAGTGGCCTCATACTATTAAACATAAGAGTTTTAAGTTTGTACTCAAAATCCATTTCAAATGAATGAGTTCACTTAAATTTTAACCTGGGTTTTAGAATCATTATTATTAGCTTTAGGGGTCTTAAATCATCATGGGAAAAATAAACCCATAAATGTGGAATTAGAAGGGGTAGTTCCCAGTCGTGGTTTTTCTTTCTTTTTTTTTTTTTTTTTTTTTTTTTTTTAATTTATTTATTATTATTATACTTTAAGTTGTAGGGTACATGTGCATAACGTGCAGGTTTGTTACATATGTATACTTGTGCCATGTTGCTGTGCTGCACCCATCAACTCGTCATTTACATCAGGTATAACTCCCAATGCAATCCCTCCCCCCTCCCCCCTCCCCATGATAGGCCCCGGTGTGTGATGTTCCCCTTCCTGAGTCCGAGTGATCTCATTGTTCAGTTCCCACCTATGAGTGAGAACATGCGGTGTTTGGTTTTCTGTTCTTGTGATAGTTTGCTAAGAATGATGGATTCCAGCTGCATCCAAGTCCCTACAAAGGACTCAAACTCATCCTTTTTTATGGCTGCATAGTATTCCATGGTGTATATGTGCCACATTTTCTTAATCCAATCTGTCACTGATGGACATTTGGGTTGATTCCAAGTCTTTGCTATTGTGAATAGTGCTGCAATAAACATACGTGTGCATGTGTCTTTATAGCAGCATAATTTATAATCCTTTGGGTATATACCCAGTAATGGGATGGCTGGGTCATATGGTACATCTAGTTCTAGATCCTTGAGGAATCGCCATACTGTTTTGATAGCTTTGGAAAGTAATTTGTCCCTCAAAGTCTTAGTTTCTTCATTTATAAAATCGCAGTAATAATGCCTACATTCTTATCTCACAGGATTCTTGTGATAGTTAAATAAACATTAAAATGCATGTGTGTTAAACACATTATAAATCATAGTTCTATAAAAGTACAGAGTATTGCTATTTTTTCTGACAGCCATATATATCTGCTTTTAAAAATGCCAGTAGTTTTATTATTTCCGGTTAACAGGATAAGTTAGCAAACATATACTGAACCCCAGTTAAATGAGCTGCATGGTGCTAAGTACCCCAGAAGGGTTTCTCAGCTTCCATGTTCTGAGTAACAGAGCCTTTGGACAGGTCCTGGTATAGCTAGAAATGTGGCCAGGAACAACATCATGCATTTACTCAAGTGTGCTGTGCAAATTGTAGTATTTTCTGTGCGCACAATGATGTGAGAAATTTGGGAGGCCCTGCCAAAATTATTAAAAACCAAAAGTACATATATTCCCTGTTCCTTTGAAGGTTATAATCTAGTAGAGCAGCAGATTGGATACTTAAAATGACTTAAAACTTATTACTGAGCATGATACTGGATTTAAAAAGCTAAAGTACTACTTAGATACCACTTTACTGGGAGAGATTAAAATTGGGTGGAATAAATTGAACTTAAGAGATTTGGCTTTAAGCAGGCAATGGACATGAATTTCATAGAAGAGGAAATAGTCCATGACTAGAATTGGAGCTAAGTAAGAAAAGGTATAGAAGGCCAAAGGAGATGACACTGATTGAATTGCTGCTTTGAATGGACCAACTTAGGCTGCCATAAGAGATAAGGCTAAAAAGTTGCATTGTGATTATTTGAGAAATAGCTGTGAATGTTATACTGAGGACTGTGAATCTATCAGCTTATCAGCTGTATTAAGTTTTCTGTTATGGCTGTAACAAATTACCATGCATTTGGTGGCTGGCTTAAAACAATTCAAATTTATAATCTTAGGGTTCTAAAGGTCTGAAGTTTTAAATAGGTTGACCGAGCTGTACTCCTTCTGGAGACACTGGAGAGATTCCATTTCCTTGCCTTTTAAAGATTCTAGCTACTGCCTGCATTTATTGGCTTCTGGTCCCTTCCTTGCATCACTCTGACCCCTCCCCTGCCATCACATCTTCTCTTCCTCTGCTTTTGCTGTCACATTGTCTTCTTGCTGGCTGCGACTTCCTCTATTTTATAAGGGCCCTGTGGTTATGTTGGGACCACTCAGATAAATTAGAATAATCTTCCAATCCCAAAATCCACAACTTAATCCCAATGCAAAGTCTTTTTTTCTTTAACCACTTAAATTAACATATTTACAGGTTCCAGGGATTAGGATGTCTAAATATTTTAGGGCGAGCGAGGGACATTATTCAGCCTACATCAGCATAGTTAATATGTCATTGTTACAGGTTATTGAAAGGAAGGTGAGATGATTTCCTTATATATGACATTTTATTTCTTTATGGCTGTGTGTGTGTGTGTGTGTGTGTATGTGTGTGTGTAACCACTCATATTCATATGCTCGAGCCCAGGCAATATTGTCTTCAAAAAAATACTTTGTATTTGACCAGATATATTGGAAACTATGTGAATACATGATTTTATCATTTTTTAGTCTCTATTTTATCCTTATTGCCTACCAAAATGTCAGGTACATAATAGATTCGTAGTAATTCAGTGAAGTAATATTGGGCAAGTAATTAGCCTCTCTATGGCAAGAAAAAATGTTAGTTAATCACTAGCTAGAATAAGTCAATTTTCTCATATGAATGATTTAACTGGATTATTTCAGGAAATAAAAACCTGTATAGAGAGCAAGATGGTGAATAGATGGTCATGACAGTTGCAGCTCACCATCATGCCCTCTATCTTATGCCTTATTAGTAACAATCTGATTTTATCATTAATTTACTTGATAGCTTCATCCACCTAAACATAAGCTCCTTTAATTAGCACTGCTCCTTCTGCTTCTTCCTCCTCTTTCTTCTCTTTTTTTTCCATCCTCAGTGCCTGGTGTAATTATTGGTTCATAGTAGATTCTTGACAAGCTTTCCTATTGATAATATACAGCCATATAATATACAGTAAAATATAGTGGAGAAAATTCGACTTATATTAGAAAAAATATAGACATGAACTGAACTGAGTAGTACATATGTCTAACAAAACCTTAATATACCATAAAAGATGTTTCAAAAATGAGATTCTAGTTTGGACTAAATTAACATACAAATTTAAGGCATTTCCAAGTAAAATTTCAAAAGGACTATTTTTATAATTTGACAAGATGATTCAAAACTTTATCTGAGAAGATGCAATATGATAAGAACCAATTCTTCTTCTGAAACTTTTGAACTACTGGATATTATTAAGGTGAACATTTGAACTACTGGATATTATTACCTAATATAATGATACTAAAATAGTGTGTTTCTGGTACTGAAGGTACAGCTGGGACATAATGGAGATTCCTAAAATGGTTGTGTGTGTACTTATGTTATAAATATCATTTCAAATTAGTAAAGAAAGGCTAGATTATTCAGAGAATAGTCTGACAACTGGATAATCATACAGGACAAAAAATTAGTTCCCTATCTCTCACTGCATCAAGAAAATGCAGATTATCATATCTTGGAAATTAAAATCCACAAACTGGCAAATAATTAGGCAACATTGTAGTGAGGAAAGCTTTTATAAGCAGGTCATATTTACAGAAAAACACATTATGAAAAAATAATTTATTTTATCATAAAATGGGAAATGACACAAAGGATTAACCCAGGAGTAGGTTTAATTCACACATCTTAGCTTTTCCAGATCATCAAAGAGAATTCTATAATTGTCATACAAATTTCCCTCCCCTACTTCTGACAAATGGCACTTCTGCCATTTTCCAAATGAACCAATCTCTTAGCCACTCCTTGTGTTCGGCATATTCCCTCTCACACAATTCTTGATATTCATCTTAAATACTTCTCACTTGCATGAAAATGTGACAGCATGGAATGACTTGCCCACAAGGCATACATTATTTTGAAGATGGCCTATAGATAAATTCTTTCTTTCAGGTAGAATTAACCAAGTGGAGCTAAATAAGCCACTCCTAGAAGGCTTACAAAACTCATGGGCTCCCCAGAGTTTGCTATTTATTTTTGAACTGTGTGAACGTGATATACCAAATTAAATTCAAAGGCCAAAGACTCATCTCAATGGAATTTGTAGTTGTAGACACATGAAACTTACTTAAATGAAACTTGCATTTTCCACAGTTGTGCCTGAAACTTCCCATGGCAAGAATATTTACATCACCGCTGACAGCTTAGTGAACAAATTGCTTAGTTTATAGCTATAGCCAGTTCTGTCAGCAGAGGAAAGAATTAAGATAAACCTATTAGACTACAGTTATATAATAATAAATCAAAACAGTCATTCCAAAGACTTAATTTTAAAACATAGGTGGAACATGAGTAAGTATCCTGATGCTTGGTTTAATGAATATTTAGTGGGAGGAGCAACAAGAAAATGCATTATTTATAAAATGATTCCTTAATCATGGTACTACTGGAATAATACAATCTAATTCTGCCATGTTTGATGTTTGTAGGAAAATCTGGCAAAGGGCCTATACATGGATAAAAGTAACATGTAAGTAATAATTAAATAGAATAAGAAATAAATCTTTGATTTAAGAACTCATAGTACCATTTTAATAGAAAAATAGAGATATGTTTTAGTTATTAATGAATATATCCTTTGACATGGGTTATTCCAATTGTTGGAGCTAGAAGTTAATTATTTAAAAAAGCTTTAATCTTAGGCATTAAAAATTATTTTTATTTTCAATTTTTATGGGTACATAGTAGGTGTATATATTTGTGGGGTACATGAGATGTTTGATATAGGTATACAATGTGAAATAAGCACATCTCATGGAGAATGGGGTATCCATCCCTTCAAGCATATATTCTCTGAGTTAGGAATCTTTTGATTGGCACATGATGTAACAGAGTTGGGTCTTTCAACAGGTCACCTAACTTCCATAAACTCGACTTTTCACTTTTATTGAGTAAGCATATGGATTAGATTCTTTCTAACATTCTTCTCACCTTTGAACTTGCATAATTTCAATGATCTTTGAGGAGTTAGAGGACATTGAATAGTGTATCTTTGTTGTTACCAACCAAAACCAAAAAAAGCAAAATAGAAGCCTAGAAGTACTATAAGGATATCTATGGTATGTGGTTCATATGCATATTTCTGGAATTCCTACTGCCATAATGCACTTTTAAGACGTACCTTTCCCTCCGCATTGTAACATTTATACAATTTTTATTACCTATGGTGGCATGCCATAATTAAATCTTTAGCATAATTTTTTCTTACAATTACATGAAATAATGATTCAGTGTATTCTCTATGGAGTCTTAGGATTGATGAAATTCAGAATATGTCCAGTAGCATGCTGTGTGCTAAGGATACCTGGACTCTCTTCTGATAAATCTCTGATTCTAAACATACACCGAAGGTTCTTGAATAATGTCATTTTGTTACATGCTGTTTTGTATAGTGATGAGAAAAATAATGGATTCCTGGCTGGAGCCACTGTCTGTGTGGAGCTTGCACGTTCTTCCCATGTCCACGTGGGTTTTCTCTGGCTACTCTGGTCTCCTTCCATATCCCAAAGGTGTACATGTGCACCTTAGATTAATTGGCATATTAAATTGTCACCATCTGGGCAAGCGTGAGTATGTGTATGATTGTGTGCCCTGTTATAGGTTGGTATCCTGTCCAGAGTTGATTCTTACCTGGTACTCTGAGCTGCTGGAGTAGGCACTGGACACCCAAGACTCTGAACTGGAATGAATGGGTAAATAATTATCTTACTCATTTCAAAGTAATATTTCTTAAATGTATGTATAGCCCATATTTATTTCAATGCTTAACATTAGAAGTGTTTTGGTCTTTATGAGCAATGTGGAAAGGACTCCCTATTGAATAAGTGGTGCTGGGATAACTGGCTAGTCATATATAGAAGATTGAAACCGGACCCCTTCCTTACATCACATACAAAAATCAACTCGAGATGGATTAAAAACTTAAATATAAAACCCAAAACTATAAAAACCCTGGAAGACAAACTTGACAATACCATTCTGCACAGAGGAATGAGCGAAGATTTCATGATGAAGACATGGAAAGCAACTGCAACAAAAGTAAAAATTGACAAATGGGATCTAATTAAAGTTAAAATCTTCTGCACTGCAGCAGAAACTACCAACAGAGTAAGCAGACAACCTAAAGAACTGGAGAATATTTTTGCAAACTATGAATCTGACAAAGGTGTATTATCCAGTATCTATAAGAAACTTAAACAAATTTATGAGAAAGAAACAAAAAACTCCATTAAAAATTGGACAAAGCACATGACCAAACATTTTTACAAATAAAACATACATGTGGCCAACAAGAATAGGGGAAAAAAGTTCAATATCACTGATTATTAGAGAAATGCAAATCAAAACCACAATGAGATGCCATCTCACACCAGTCAGGAAGACTATTATTAAAAAGTCAAAAAATAACAGATGCTTCTGATGCTCCAGAGAAAAGGGACTGCTTATACACTCTTGGTGGGAGTGTAAATTAGTTCAATCATTGTGGGAAGCAGTGTGGTGATTCCTCAAAGAGCTAACAACAGAACAACCATTCAACCCTGCTGTCCCATTACCTAGAGAAATAGAAATAATTCTATCATAAAGATACATGCACATGAATGTTCATTGCAGTACTATTCACAATAGCAAAGACATGGCATCAACCTAAATGCCCATCAATGACAGATTAGATAAAGAAAACGCAGTACATATACATAGTGGAACATTATGTAGCCATAAAAAAGAATGAGATTATGTCTTTTGTAGGAACATGGATGGAGCTGGAGGCCATTATCCTTAGCAAACTAGTGCAGGAACAGGAAACCAAAATCAGCATATTCTCATTTACAAGTGGGAAAAAATGTTGAGAACTCATAGATACGAAGAGAGGAACAACACACACTGGGGCCTACTTGAGAATGGAGTTGGGAGGAGGGGAAAAATAACAATCAGGCACTAGGCTTTGTAACTGGGTGACAAAGTAATCTGTATAACAAACCCCTTATGATATGAGTTTACCTGTATAACAAACTTCCACATTTATCCCTGAACCTAAAATAAAATGTTAAAAAAGTAAAAAAAAAAAAAAAAAAAAATTAAAACAATAAATCCACGTGAAACCCTCCTCCCCACCTCCCCAGAAAAAGAAGTGAAAGTTTGGTGATGTTTTTGTGAGCAAAATATGCCATAGAATCTTTAACTCTTGTTGATGTCAGTTAGGCTGTGGTGAAATTGGTTTTCTTATACTTCATTTAGCTTAATGTCACAATTTCCAAGAACCTATCCAGGATGTTTAGTGAGGATTTATTGTAATGACAGAAATGCAACATTGTTATACATGTGAGGTCACATCACTGCAAAGTATCCTTATCTAGCACCAGACTTTCTTCTACCAACAGCTCCTCTCCACTTCTACACATAAAATATTCATTTCACGTCATGAATAACCTCTTTGCTAAATGATGTATGCTTTAAAACAATAGAAGGATTTTAATACGTTATTTCTGAGACAGTCTTCTATGCCAACGTGGTACACATATGGCCTGGGTGAGTGAAAAATTGTGAATGCTTTCTTTATAGAAATGCTTGCCAATAACTGAATATCTATTTTCCTGCTTCTACCCCAAATATAGTGTCCATTTTATGGACCAATTTAATCCTCATCTGACTTTTAAAATTTTTGTCATAATTGTTTCTATTTGTCATCTCTATAGTTATCACTCTACCTCTTTAACATTTTTCTAATTTAAAAATATTATTTTGGCTACAAGACCTTTCAAGGTAGACTTGTATTCAGAAATGACATGTTTTCCATTTTGAGACTAAAGGTAAACCTACATATTTTTTTAAAACCATTGCCACAGCATGAGTTCTGTGTCAGTTATAAGCTAGAGCCCGTCTGCCTGGTATAATTAAGATGGCTTGCTCTTGAGATTACAAAGGCTAAAGGAAGTAGAATAAATGGACATCAGGAAGGGAAAAAGAGAAAGAGTGTAGCCAAATTATAGATATATTTCTGTGTCTACATTTTTGCTAATTTTTGCACTTTACATCAGAAGCATTTTTGCCATTTAGTTAGTGTTCCTAATTATAAAGCTAACGGGTGAAACATTCATTTATTTATTCAACAGATACATCTTGAGTGACTACTGTATACTAGGATTTGTCATCAGTACTGAATAGAACAGGCAAAATTTGCATAAGGTTTTATTAAATTGAAAACTAGCTTGATTAACTGTTCCCACATTGCTAGGCATTAGGTTGTTTTCCATTTTCCTCTTTGAAATATAGATCTTTCCCTTCCTTTGTATTATTTTCTTGGGATAAACTACCAGAAATTGAATAGTTTTCCAAAGATGTGAGCATTTTCTGGGGGTGGGGTGGGGAGGGGAAAATATCAGTATATACTTAAACATTTTAATGTTTCCACATCAAAATAGTAATTTGCTCACAAACAAAAACGTTCTACAATAGTTTGGATAGTAGGTTGTTTAAGATAGAAGTATAGACACTTTTAATAACAATGATGGGTTTTTGGGCAAATAAATTGCTTAATTTATTTACATTAAAAATCATGATTTAGGTCTTTGAATTAAAAAGATAGATTTAGTTCTTAAAAAATTAAAGGACATTGGTTTTACTTTTGAATATTTAGAACTAATAAGATGAAGTTGATCAAATATAAATGTAGCATAATTTTTAGAAGTGCTACTTAATCAAAGTCAGTGACATTATAGAAAATGGAGAAATGCTTATGGACAAATAAATCTGAACTTTGAACAAGCTCTGGAAGACCTTCTCTAAGAACTAATTCTAAATTTTTCGAAGGATGTAACAGATGATCTGAGAAGTCCCCTTGCTTTCTGGAGCACTATGATAACAGGATAGTTCATGTTTCCACTGTGTACACAGGGATTTAAAAACATTACTTACACCCATCACCTGCTCACTGGTGAAAGATTAGATCCTTATGAACATGCACATATATGTCTACATCAGACATTCTTCATAACTGCTTCTGATGTGAGTGTCCCTGTCTGATATAACCATCACCAAACCCTTTTGGACATTATTTCTAGCCATTCCCATGGGGTAGGTGCACACACATATCCGTTGCCTCTTTCAACCAAAAGCTAAAAGTGAATTTAAAAACCAGTTAATGCAGCACCTTTAATTTTTTAAACTACAAAATAAAATAAATAAGTCAGTTAGGACATTAGAAAACAGCTGCAAGCAGCAGATCAGTTTTAACACAAAAGCAAAAACAAAACAAAAGCCAATGAAAAGGTACTAAATATCAAAGAGATATTGATCACAGTTTTGTGGTACTTCCTCTTTAACATGGTAGATTATTCAGTTTCATTCTTGATTAAAGAGAGGAAAAAGATTAAGTATTAAATAATTCCTAATATACTTTTCTTTTTACTTCCATAATATTGGTTCTAAAATGAACTAAGATAGTTTTGTGGGTGGAATTTCAGTGTTATCAGCATTATGAGAGAGAGAAAATAAGAGCAAATTTCAGCAAGAAAAAGTGCCTGCACAAATATACTATGTAAAACAGTATCAGAGACATATAGACTAACCTATCTCTGATATAAAGAAAATTATAAATTAGTGTATTTCAGATGGTCTAATTTTACCATCAGCAATTTACTATCAAAAGTTACATAACCACTTAGGGACCAATGAAAAGAACAAACTAAGCCCAAGGTTATTAGAAGAAAAGAAATAAGAAAGATCAGAGTAAAAATAAATGAAAAAGAGACAAAAAATAGATAAAATCAACAAAAGTAAGAGTTGGTTTTTGAAGAGACAAAATCAACAAATCTTTAGCTGAAGAAAAATAAAAGACTAAAATTAGAAATGAAAAGGGAGACCTTTCAATTGATATCACATAAATATAAAGATTGTAAGAGATTACTATGAACAATTATACACCCACAAATTGAATAACCTATAAGAAATTGATAAATTTCTAGAAACATGTAGTATACTAAAACTGATTCAGGAAAAATTACAAAATCTGAACAAACCAATAACAAGGAAGGAGACTGAATCTCTAATAAAAAGTCTCTCATCAGAGAAAAGTCCAGCACCTGCTTGTTTCACTGTTGAATTTTATTGAATACTTAAAGAACTAACAATAACTTCTACTTAACCTTTTCTAAAAATGAAGTAAAAAACTTCTAAACTCATTTGTTAAGCCAGCTTTTCCTTTATACCAAAGTCAGATAAGGACACTATGAGAAAAGGAAACACACTAATATCCCTGATGAAAATAGACTTAAAAATCCTCAACCAAATATTAGCTAACTGAATTCAACATCTTAAAAAGATCATTCACCGTGATCAGCTGGGATATATTCCAGAGATGCAAGGAAAATAAACACATGCAAATCCATCAAAGTGATAACCATAATAACATAATTCAAGACAAAAATGATACAATCATCTCAGCAGATACAAAAATCACTTGACAAAATTCAGCATCCTTTTCTAATAAAACGTTTTCAATAAATTAGGTATAGAATGAATGCACGTGAATATATTAAAGGCCATAAAAGACAAGCACACAGCTAACATTACACTCAATGATGAAAAACTGAAAGCTTTTCTTCTAAGACAGGAACAAGACAAAGTCCACTCTCATCAGTTTTGTTTAATATAGTACTGGAAGTCCTCAAAGAGCAGTTAGCCAACACAAAGAAAT